TCATCTCCGACGGGGGCTCGGAGTTCGGCTCCAGATTCGCGCGGGGCATGGAACAGTGGGGGGTGTGCCAACACGTCTGCGACGCGGACTCCCCCTGCCAGAATGGCAGGGTGGAGCATCACGGTTGCTGGGTGAAGGATAGTGTGAAGGCCGAGCTCGAGTCAGGTCCATTTCTCCCGGCCGACCTTCAAAAGGTGGACGATCTGATCACCGAGCTTGTAGCACACAAGGACCGCTACTGGCATCGCGGCGGATTCTCACCCCTCCAGCTAGTGTTCGGGGAGAATCCTAGGCCCCACATGACATCCTGAGCGACGATCATAAAGGGCTGCCTGGCTGGCAAGATGCGGTCCGTCCTCCGTCCGAGCAGGATCAAGCGGGAGCTGAATTTGCGCGGGCGCAAGAGGTTAGAGCGGCGGCCAGGAGGCTCGCAATGGAAGTTACTTCTCGTGAGAAGATAAGCCGCGCTTCGAGAGCCAAGGCGCCGAACGTTCAGACCTTCACCCCCGGTCAATGGGTTTTCGTCTGGAGACACTTCTCTCGCACCTCCTCGCGGGCCGACGCCCTCGGCCGGAGGCGAGACGGGTGGACAGGGCCTGGGGTCGTTGTGCTGTGTGAAGGCGGGACTGCCTGGGTAGCGGTCCGCGCCCGTCTTTGGAAGTGCAGCGTCGAGCAACTTAGGTTGGCCAGCTCGGAGGAGGAATATGGGATCCAGCTGGCCCAGGACCCTCAATGGCAAGACCTTCTTCGGGCTGCAAGAACCCGCCTGGTTTCTGCCGTTGACGTCGCCCGGGAGGGACCCCCTCCCGATGCGGCCTGGGACGAGCCGGCCCAGGTCCAGGGGGGCACCGGCCCCAGGCTGCCGGGCCCAGGGACCCAGTCCGCCGAGGAGCCATCGTCGGTCTCTCGACCTCAGCCCTCGGCGACCGGTCCTTTGTCTCTAGGGCGGGCTCGACGACGGCTCCGCCGCCTTCCCGGTTGCCCTCCATCCCGGAGTCGCGAGGAGACTCCGGGCCTCCTACGGCTCTCCCCTCGCCTCGGGGAGGCGAGGGCCCGAGCGCCTCGGAAGGCGGTCCCAGGGAAGTGCCCTCCTCCACTCGTGTCTCTCCTTCTTCCTCCCTGCCACCGACTCCTCCCGTGGGTCCCTCCTCGTCTCCTCCTCCTCCTCCTCCGTCTCTTCCTCCGACGGCGACGAGTCGGCGGCTGCGGCAACCGGAGGACGTGCCGGCGCGCCTAGGGCCGCTAGCTCACCGCTCGAGGTCAAGCGGGCACGGACGGAGACGCCGGGTGCCAGCGGACGCGGGGAGGCCGAGCCTCCCGAGGCTGCGCCTGCGGGCCCAGGGGGTGCCTCCTCCTCCTCCGGTGGTGGCGTGGTCGATCCTCCTCCGGGCCTCGGCCCGGGCGATCCTGGCCAGGCCAGGGGTCTCAGGATCGGTGTGGAGCGATCGAGGTCTGCAGTGGCCGAGGCCGTTCGAGACCTTGAGACTCGGGGCCGCCCTCGGTCGAGGTCACCCTTCAGCCACGGACCTGTCGAAAGTTTTTGGGTGGTCCTGGGGTCCGACGGCGGGGTTTGGGCCCCTCCGGTCCGTGCTGAGCGACTCGATGAGAGCTTTCAAGACGGAGGCGTTTTCGCGGCGAGCCGTGGCGGGGAGGTGTCTCTTAAGAAGCTCAGTCCGGCTGAACGGGCCAAGTTCGATATTTCGGACGACAAGGAGTGGATGTCGATGGGAGGCTCCGGAGCCGTGGAAGTAATTCCGCCCAAGAAGGCGAGCGTGGTTCGAGAGCAGCAGCCCGAGAGGATCATAACCTCGCGCATGGTCAGGAGGTGGAAGCCAGCGGAAGGTGCCTTTGCGCAGCCGGAAGCAAAGTCTCGGTGGTGAGTGCACGGGCACCGAGATCCAGATTCTGGGGCACTAGCTGTCTACGCACCGACGCCACAGAGTACCTCCATCATGATGTTCCTTCAGATCATGACCAACCTCGGAATGCTGGGTGATATCGCAGACGTGAAGAATGCATTCTGTCAGTCCGACCCTATGTGTCGGACACAAGGTGAAATATATGTTGAACCCTGCGAGGGCATCAACGTGGAGCCCGGCTCGCTCATTCGGCATACGGTCAATGTCTACGGCATGGACGATGCCCCTATGGCATGGAGACGGACAGTCGTGGGGTTTCTTGAGCAACGCGGCTTCGTGAGAAGCCTGCTTGAGCCATGCTGGTGGATCAAGTATGGCAAGAACGGGGATATTCTGAACATGATGTTCCTTGAAGTCGACGACTTCATGACCGCCAGCGCCTCTCCGGAGGCCAGGTCATGGCTCAGACGGACTCTAGAATCCCGCTTAAAGTTTGGAAAGTACCGCGACTGTCATGCTGGTCCTGTAGACTTCGCCGGCCGGCGGCTGTCCTTTGGAACTCAGAAGGTAATTGTGGACCAGGAAAAGTACATCTTAGAGGAAGTGAGGCCTTTGTCAGTAGCCAAACCCTGAGGTTCCGTGGCAATTTAAATAACCGCCACGAGTCGGCAATTAAAAATAAACGCCAAGAAAAATATTGCCAAAGTATGGTTTTCTCACAGCGCCATCAAAAAGTCGCACGAGTGCGGTTAGAAACAAGCGAGTCGCAACTTGGAAGCAACCTGATGCCATCGATGGCATCACTGATTGCGATAGCGCCCCATGGGGATGAGACAACATAGCATATGATATGTAAAGGCAGCGCGCAAACCCCACGGTGTTTACAACTTCGCGCAGATATGCGCTACAGCACTTGCTCTGTTGAACCATATTACGCGCTTAAGTCGTAGAGCGTTGCTCTCGAACCCACGCGGATCCAGGCAACGTTTGATCGAGGGCGTTGGCTTGAGCAAAAATGGCTACGATTCTGATTTGGTCATAGTTCTTCTCCTCCTCCTCGACCTCCTCCTCCTCCTCCTCCCCCTCTTCTTCCTCCTCCTCTTCTTCCTCATCTTCCTCCTCCTCTTTCTTTTATTACTATCTTCCTTTGGAGCTCCTTCTCTTCGTTGCGTTTCCTCCTAGCCGTCGCAGTCGTTCCTTTGCAGGCCGTCATCCCTGCACGTCGAAACGATCAGCCGATCATTGTCTCTCAATCCTCGTCAGTGAGACAGGCTCTACTCGCGGGACAACGGTAAAACCGATGCCCCCAAGTTGGGCATCCTCCCGAACTGGCCCGATGAGGCCATATATCTGGCCCTCGTCGGCCCAGCGCAAGTCGGGCATAAAGAAACGGTAGGCCAAAGCATCTACCTCGCGCGGCGGGAAGATTACATAACCTGGCCAGTAAAGCCAGCGAATCGTCAAACGCCCAGGCATCTCGTACGCCTCTGCCCTGGTGATGTCGGATCCTGGCCAGTCTTGCGAGATAATCTCGCTGTAACCTTGCGCGCCCCCGCCCTTGAAATGTTACCGCCCCCCCTCCCTGTTCACTCGACCCCAGTGTCACCAAAAACCAGTTGCCCCAATCGGTCACCAGGCCATAGGGTTTATCGAAAACAGTCGTGGGGTGGGGGCGTGGCGATCCGACGGTCCCAGTGGCCTTTCTGAGGACCATGATGCTTATTTTGTCGATGTCCGACGCAGCCCAAGTCGAGCATATGTTTGCAAGGTTCCTGATCGAGCGCGCCATGTTTTTGCCAGCTTTCAAGGGGCGGGGCATGGACGGAACAATAGCACTGGGGGCAGGACGGAAGGCGCATTATAGATGAAGCTGTTTGAAGTTGAAGGGGAACGGATTTCAGGGGTAAGATGTACGCGCAGGCCCGTTTAGGATGACATCGATTACATTCCAGGTGGCAACCCCGCCCATGTGCATGGCATGATCCATGTTAACGGGTTGATGCCATGCCGATGCCCCGCCCCGTGGGCAGTTTCGAGCCCCCGTGCCCTAATAGCGGGTAAGGGTGGGTCGCCGTCCGTCGTCCGTCGTCGTGCGCCGCCGTCGCCGTCGTCGTCTTCACCATCCGTCGTTATCAATATGCACCCCCTCTGCCGCGACCAGCCCCCGCCGCGGCCGCCAGGGGGGAAGGTGGTGGGGGGGAGGGGGGAGAGGAAGAGCAGGAAGCGAGGCGGGACAAGAGGGGGATGACGAGGGGGAGGACGAGGGGAATGTTGGTAAAGAAGGGTGAGGACGAGCGGGGAGTGAAAGATACTCCGAAGCTGGGATGGCCGTCTTCACACCCCTCGGCAGATCCTCCGCTCTCCAGCATCATCCCGTCTCCACTTCCTCGGTCCTCTTCCTCCTCACTTTCCTCCTCCTCCGTCCTAGCTCTTCCTCCTCCTCGTCCTCCTCCTCTTCCGCGTCCGTTTCACCGTCTTCCCGCCATTCCTCTCCAGCTCCCCACCGTCCTCCTCATCCCAACCGTCAGCGGCATTCCAATTCCCTATCCAATTGGCGGTCGCGACAGGGCGTCGATAAAGCAACGCCGAGATTGGGCAGATCGTTGACGCATCAGCCCTCGCCTCACTCAACTCACAAGCGGCGTTGGCATTGCATTGACGTTGCGTTGAAGTTGCATTGACTTTGCATTGACCTATGCTGTGCGTCCGTTTGCACATTCAGAGATGCACCTATGGATGTATGCACATATGGATGTATGCGTCGGCTCGCAGACCAAATACCTGCGTGCGTCGACCCCACGCTGGACTCGGCTCGAGGAGTGGCGCTGATGTTCAAATTGCATCGCCTTCTTCACCTCGAGAAGCGCGATGCCATCAGCGGGTCGGTTCCCGATTCGGTTGCTCGCTCGATCGCCACGGCTGCACGACAAGCTGTTGACCTCCCTTCTGGAGGCAATCTGGCACGACGGGCACGCAGAGTGGCTAGGTAAGGAGATCAGACATTATTGATGACGCTCCGCCTCCTGCGTCCTCCTCGTCCTCCTCTTTGTTATCATTATCCTCCTCTTCCTCCTCCTCCTCATCCTCCTCCTTATCCTCCTTCTAGCCAGCCACTGCAAAACTCATGACGCTAGCGGGAACCCGCATTGCTCAAAGATATCTCAACAGCATCGGCAATGGCTGACGCTAGCTCTGAAGTGTACTCCTCTGACTTCTTCTGAGCCTTGGAGCCACTGACCCAGCCTGTAGAAGACCACGAGCGGTCTCCCTCGGCAGCAGGCTTGTACCTGGGCGTCACCTTGTGCAGCGGCTCGGCAGGGCCCCCATCCTCTATCGATGGGTACCAAGAGGGTTGCCGAACGCGATTGGCTCGAATGATGGCCATCTGAGTTTTCAGCCCCCTATCTTGGATCAACACCACTGGCGCTTCCTAGATCTAGGGCGCGCCAGTGTTCACCCAACTCGTTGCGAAAGCCAATCATTCGAACCATTGGGGGCGCAAACATGTTTGGCAGTGACCAGTCATTTACTTTCCATCGGGCACAGTACCCCGAGCAGAACACAAAGGGACGATCCACCACCGTGCCGTGCCCGTGGAACGTAAATCACAGACAGCCTCCTGAATTGTTTCTGAAACCGCCAGCAGTTCCTGTTCCTTGACAGCCTTGTCGGCATAGGCCCTGTTTGACGATAGAGACGCCCACGCCTTGTCCGACCAACTCGATTGTATTTCAAAAGGTTTTCTGGTGCCTGCGCCAAACGCGCCCCCGTACGTGACCCGCCTCCTGGCGCGGAGCCACCAAAGAGACGACCTGACTGCCTGGAAGCGGTAGAGCAGCGACGCGAGCGGCTGCTCGACGCAGAAGAAGACGCCTCTCACGCCGCAGAGCGCCAGCAACCACGACCTTGCGGGCTCGCTGGCGGGGAGGATGGGGCTTTACATTGAAGAGGCGTTGGTGTTATGGGGGGGGGGCAGGGTAAGCTTTAACGTTGGGAGCTTGGTGGCATCAGACGGGAGCCTGATGGCATCGGAACGGGGCCTGGTGGCGTCAAGGAGGGCGGTGGCCTGCGGCTGCTGTTTAACAATCCTAAAAGGAACAACCTCTTACGGAACCTTGAGCTCTTGGGGTGGCCCACAGTAATAAACCGACCAACGACGGCGACTAGACGACTACAAGAAGGATCGATGATTCAACCCTTCTGGGACATGACAATTGCGATGCAGTTCGCCTCGCGCACGTCCTGCCTCGAGGTATCGCCCACTGGGTCATCATGATCACGTTTCGTATGCCAGCGAGCGCAGTTCACCCATGTAGAACACTGCGGTGAGAACCAGGCCGTGCCACGAGGCTTCACCGCTAGTATCGTCAGGGCAGTGAAGGTAACACCCACTACAGATGTCAAATCATCCCACGGGCGGCCCGATTTCAGCTCAATTGCTACGGCTCGCCGTCCACGACTTGCAATTGTCTTGGATACAGCTGCGGTACCTGCGAACACTTCCACGAAGTCTACAGTGCGAGCCTCTAGCTTCGGAGTGCTGTCAACCTTTGCAGTCAACGCTTTGAAAACATTCACGTCGATGCCATCCTCAGTGCATAGATTCAAATGCCCCACCTGGCGGTGGATCTCCTCCTCTAGATGCATGGCAGTATCCGCACGACGGATGTCTGATTCATCCATGGGGTAGGCGTCAGGATTCGCCACGGCAGCTACCCATGGATTGTCGGCACCTCGCCCATTGCGCAGCACTGCGGGCGGCGACCTAATATCCTGGGAGGAGCGGGAGGGATCCTGCGGTGTCGCCATAAATGTATACACTGAGCTGGAGCCGACCCTGCATGTTGAACATGGAATATATGCGACGTTCGAGCGTCGATCGATGGGCAAATTGAGCCAGATCTCTCAGGATGACGTTTAATCCTTCATCGGTGAATGTCGTGTATAGCTTTGGCGAGCCATGGAATATTGTCCTGGCTGGGCGGGCGACTCAACTACTGGGGTGGTGTGTCGGAAGGGGTTGAAAGGACAGATAGCCAACGACATCGGCAAACGAGATTTAGATATGGGTGTTACTCTCAGAAAGTTAACCTACCTCAACGGAGGTGCGCTATCCTTCTCCTCCTCCTCCGCCTCCTCCTCCTCCTCCCGTCCTCCTCATCCCCCCCCTCCTCTTCCTCCTCCTCATCCTCGTTCTCGGCTTAGGCTGTGTGTATGCGTATGCGTGTGTGAGTGGTGAAGCGTGCGCGCGCGAGCACGTGGGCGTGCGTGACCTCCAAGATGACCCAAGGGTAAATCGGAGGAGAAGGAGGAGGAGGAGGAGGAGGAGGAGGAGGAGCAGCAGGAGCGGGGACCTATAGCGTTGCCATGTTGGTTCAATACGTTTCCAGCTCTGGCTCAAAGCTTCGGATACCGCTTGCAGACGTCACTTAGTTACGACCTTGGCCCCTCTCCCCCTTCCCACTCCCACCCCGTCCACACGTAACATATTTTGGGTGTCCCACGTGTCCTGTCCGCCAGGTGCACTACGAGGTGGTGCTTCGGCACGTGCCATACCCCAGAGGCCTCACACGCACGCAAGAATATTCCACAACACCCAACAACTTGGTCCCGCTCTTCTTGGTGCACAACGACTCCCAAAGTCCTGACCATTCCCAAGAATTGCATCATTGCACTGCCAGCCATAACGAACGCCTCAGTGAACACGGCAGCGCCCCCTAATTGTTGCAGCTCGAAAACAGCAAAGTCCAACAACACTCCCATTTCGCCTGCTTTTGCCTTCAGGGGTCCACCTGGATGTTGCCAACTGCGAGCGTTACATTCCTCATGACCCCCCAGCATACCCCACGTAAGTTGCGACACCCGACGGTTCGAAGGAATGTTGTTTTCTTCTTCCCAGTTCCGGAGGTCGGCGACAAGCCGACGCAAGCCCAGTTCCTTCTGTTGCTCCTCAGTGCCTTGGATGCCCCATGGGTTTTTCAAAATGAGCCTCCAGAATGCGCTGCATGTCCATCTCTGAACAGGCCCGTAATATATTGTATGCAATGAATCGATGGCGAGCGTGCGGTATGGGCTAGTTGATAACTGCCTTGAAAAAAGAGGACACCTGTGCATCACTGGATCTATGACTGCGTCCCCAGCTTTCCGAACTCTCCACAATGTAACCAAGAAAGGCGTGGGCTTAGTGTCTATGGCACCGATGTCGCACAACTCTGGCGACGGCTCAACGCGGTCCCCAGGCTGCAACTGCACGCCTGAAACAACGACTTGTGTGCTCACCACGCGTCCTCCAGTTGTTTTTTTTCTTTTAGTCCAGATTAGGACTTGCAGGAATGACCGCCTCTCGACTTCGGATTCGATTTTCACAAACAGTTCACACATCTGACACGAATCTTCATATTCGGACTCTGTCCGAATCGGCCAAGGCAGCTCGTCTGCCCCTATGATGTCATCAAACTCGTGAAGGCATGCTGCAGGCAAGCTGCAATATTGGCATGGCGAGAACTTACTTGCCCAAGATGCTAATCCGAGCGTCTTGCTGTGCTCGGCCCAATCCCCTTTGATCCACCAGCCGCGTGGGCCAGGCGTATAAGGTCCAGCTCCTTGCGTTGCCTGATCGCGCTGGCGATGCTGTATATGTCGTGCATGTTCAGTGCAGACAGCGTTGATTTTGCATTGGCATTGCATTGACTTTGCGTTGGCTTTGCATTGACGTTGCATTGACGTTGTCTTGATTTACCGCCTACCGTGTCCGTCTATCTTGCCTGTCTATTTTGCCCGTCTACCTTACCGTCTATTTCGCCCGTCGGTTTTCCAGTTGGGTTGCGGATCGAGCGATAGCTTGGCGTATCCACAGGAGGCAACATGTGGCAAAACTTTTCCGCTGCGACAAGGGGTCGCTCGGGTCCCAAGCAGTGCCGTCGTGACGCTTGGTCGGGGACTGCCCCGAAACTAATGCTTGACACATCCAAGAAAGTGCTAATAGTCCTGGGTACACAGAGCACCAGCCTCTACAACCGCAGAGACACTTGTCTGAGCCCAGAAGAACGCCCGCCACGTGCCGTTTTTCCGTCAGGAGGTTGATGATCCAGAATCCCAAGATAGTGTCCGACCTCCCTCCCACGCCAGACGTGTAGCTCACCCCGTCCACATACAACCCCAGGGGAATTGGTTTGTCAACTCCATCCCGTTCCGCCTCTATCACCGCAGGGTGGGTCTGATAACAAGGGAGGTCTAAGACGGTTTCTTCTCTGTCGTCGGGGTCTGCACGGACAAGCTGTAGGCTCAGCGGGTCAGTCTCGATTTCATCTGCAACAGACGCCCAGATCGGTCGGAAGGGGATGTCTCGAATCGATCGCGTCGCTGCCCGCCTCACGTTGCAAGGAGTTGGCACCATATACAGATCGCCTGGGCCTGGGAGAACTGTATCGAGGTGTCGTTGATAAGACCCACTCTGCTTTCCTGGGGCGCTACTGTAGATGCTGAACGACCCACCTGGCACTTCAGCAACCTGGCAACGGTAACATAGAACGCAAACATCATATGCCGACAACTTCGCCGAAGCGTACAGACTCAGGATGTGTTTCAGAAGTTCAGACCCTGCTTCCCGCCGTGCCTGTTGCTTTCGAGCATCACCTCCAGGAACCCATGGCACGGAGAGACGCCGCCGCCGTTTGGCTTTGGGCGCCATGATGAGAAGCTAGAGCCAGTGCAGCTATATACTGAAAACTATGCCTGCAACCTGGCTCAGGATAACTTCCCAGGGGCCACTTACCCCTGCCCCGCCAACTCCGAGGGTGGGCGGAAGGAGACGAGTTGAGGATCGGGACCGTGAAATGAATTGTGGGTTCGCTGCCCTGCAGCAGGGCACACAGAAGTTGACCCCCACCCCATGCCATCGCATTGCAATGACCTTTCCTCTGGATCGCCCGAACTACAAGATTTCTGCCAGTGGCAGCAAGTGTAAACTGACGCTGGGCGCGAAGCAAGCGCCTCTCGGGCGCGCTGGCAAAAAAGTGGCATCTGGCCCCTTGTGGCGCACTCAGACCCCATCTTACGCTGTCCTCTCTTACCATCTTACCTCGGACCAGACCATTTTTGAGTCAACAGCTGACCAGCGAGGTCAGCAGCAGGCCAACACAAGGCCAACATTCAGTTAACGGTAGGCCAGGGACCCCCTTAGAGCGCGTCGGCCCAACGAAAACCGAGGTCAACGATGGTCAATTGAAAGTCAACGGAAAGTCAACGGAAAGTCAACGGTCCAAATTCAACGGAAAGTCAACGCACGAAACCTGTAAAAACACAGGGTTTCTGACCAAAGTCAACGGAAAGTCAACGGTAGGTCAACGGTCCAAAGTCAACGGAAAGTCAACGGTAGGTCGGGGGGGGGTTGGCAGGGGTCGAGTGCGCTCTAGCCGGCTTGCCACTGCTGCAGATGCGTACGAAACCGGCTCGGCGCTTGTCGAGGAGCGTCCGTGGGTCTCAAATTGCCCAGACGACGGAGAATTATCCAGCTCGCCACGTGCTTGCCCTAAGCGGAACATATACTGCACGGGCCAAAGCCCTGTGCGACCCCGAGGTTGCATGCCAGGATTGGCACCCATTGCAATGATTGCATGCGAACGCCTACTAAAGTTCCGAGCGTGCTGCGCCATCGTCGACGATTGTCATACATTACATGATCATATCATGTGCAGTTTCAAACCTCAGCTAAGCAAACACTGATATCATCCTAAACCTTCCCTGGAATGAGTGTACAGAAAGGCCTGAAGAAAATCTCGTCGTTCGATGGCACAGCTTCTGCACCGATCCCCTGGTGCTGGGGGCAATTTGCTGTGGCAGCCGTCAGTACTCGAGGTTCACGCCGTAGCGGTGGCCTGCATCCTCTGCTCCCTGAGCTCCTTGGCCTGAATCAGGTAGGCCATCTCACACTCCACCTGCGAGATCTGGCACTCCATCTCATTGATGTCGCTCACCGCCTGGTGGAAGCTGACTGTGTCGGCCGACTTCTCGTAAGCTTTGAGGCCGACGGAGAACACCTCGCGGAGCAAAGCGTTGCTACTCTTCAGGTCCTTGAGGTCATTCACGTACTTCAATAGATCGCTCTGCATGTCAGCCTTCCTTGCGAAAGCCCACGATTCGTCCCTGGTCAGCTGATCGAGGAACGATTCGGCCTGCGATGTCACCAGCGAGTACTTGGTGTACAGGGCCCTGGCGTTCTTCACGGGGTCAGCCTTGCTCGCGGCTGCCTGGGAGGCAGCCTTCCCTGCAGCCTTCGCTTTCGCCTTGCCTTTCGGCACTGCTGTCGGTGGCGGCGCCCCTGGCTGCTTCGCGCTCGCCTTCCCTGTAGCCTTCGGCTGTGCGGGCGGTGCGGCAGCGGCCATGCTCGTCCTCTGGCGCTTGCCTGACGGCTCGCCCTCCTGCGGAGCTTGCCAGCGATATGATCAGAAAAAAAAAAGCTGAGGAGGAGGAGGAGGAGGAGCAGGACGAAGAGAGAGGGACGGATGGGGGAGAAGACACGGAAGCGGACAGGAGGAGGAGGGAGGGAGGAGAGGAGCAGACGGGGCAGGAGGATCAGGAGTTGAAATGAGGATGGCAAACCCCTCCTCCTCCTCCTCCTCCTCCTCCTCCTCCTCCTTGTGTTCCTTCTCACTATCCTCTTCCTTCTTCTCCTCCCCCTCGGGCTCTCCTCCTTGTCATTCGGTCAGTCTTCTTGTACCCAGTCACCCTCGTCAAGTGGGCGGCAACTTAAGCAGTGTGTCTTCATAGGGAGCTCCACCGTAGGACCCAGTGGCAACGGCGCACCTCTCACACGCTTCGTGGCCTCATAACGCAGGCAAGGCAGCAACAGCTGGGGTTCGCGGCGTGTCCTGGCCACCAGCCGCAGGGCGGCCACCAGCGCCACCAGCGCCACCAGCGTTGCCAGCTGCCTCCCCTCTCACCCTTGCGCTCTCTTCTGCGCACCCGTCCCTTCAAGCGACGACTTCCCGCTATTCCTCCTTCCTACTGCACTTCCCCATCACAACCTTCTCCTCCTCAATCCTCGTCCTCCTTCGCCCTCCCTCCCCTCTCCTCCCTCCCTCGTCCTTCCTCCCCCTCCTCCTCCTTCTCCGTCTTCGTCAGCCTCTCCCCTTCTTGCTTCCCACGGGGGCATGAACAAATTCCCGAGGCCTCAAGATCAGTTCAATATAGGAACGCTACGGTGAGATGCATCTGAAGGCTCTGATATATGTATATATATGGACATCTATATATAGAGTCAAGTGAACGTGCCACACTTTGTGCTCAGCGACCCCCCCAGTGGTGTGATTGGTGCCCCCCTGATTTAGAGTGTCCATTCGATTTCTGCTCACGACTGCACGCGTTGGGATCGTTTCTTGATGGGCGCGTGGGGCCACGGGGGAATGCACTTCGTCCCTTCGCGTAACGGGGCAGCGTCAGTATACACAGTCAAGTAATATTGATTTGTCGCGGGTGCATCCCTTCAAGGGTTTTATGTTATTTTGCATTGCGTACATAGCAAACAACGGGTGTGTCATTGGATTGTCGATGTTGATGTCGATCGTGGTCTTGATGATGTTGCTGGTGCGTATCTTATGATGGTGACGATGTTGGGATTGGTGATGCTGGGTATGGCCCGACGACGTCATGGTGTTTATGGTGTGTTGACGTGGAGATGCATGAGATGGTGATGACTGATGCTGGTTCAACAGTTTCCAGCCACCCTTCAACCGCACTCGATCTGTTACGTGCCGAGTTGCACGCCACTAGTCGAAGCAGGGGATCTCAGGGATCGCTGGAAGCGGCGGGATCACCAGGTGGGCGTCCTTGTCAGTCGTCATGTTGGGCGGGCGGCTCGTGGAAAGGTGCTGGGCCTCTTCCTCTGCCAAGGGCACCGAGGGGGCTGCCGCTGGCGAAGCACCGCCACCTGCAGCGACGACTGGCTTCTGCTTCTTCGGGCTCGGCGTGCTGTATGCGGAGGCAGCTGCTGGCTTCTTACGGGGGCTGATCTGGGCACTGACAGCTTTGCTCTCGGGAGGCAGCTCAACCGCGGCCTCGGCGGGTGCCGCGCCAGCTGGTGCGGCGTCAAGCGCAGCAGCTGGACGTTTCAGACTTGCTTTGGGGCGAGCGCCTTTCTTGCCGTAACCACGCTTCGCCTTCTCCGCCTCTAATTGCGGCTTGTCGTAGCCGCCAACATACAAGTCGCCGAGCTCAGAGATCACCTTGGCGCCCGTCTCGCGGTCGGGGTACCCAGTGAGAGATAACAGTTGGGTCAGCTGCTTGTCCTTCGTGCTCCAGAGAGTGATCCATTCCTTGTCGTGCTTCCTCGTCCACTTGGCCTCGAGCTTGGCACCGCCCTTCTCGCCAGACCAGATTGGCTTCTCGAGCACGCGCCCCTTGGTCTGCGTTGGCTCCTGGAGCTCGTCAGGGACCTTGAGCTTCATGCCGTCAGGCCACACTGCGTAGGAGATGTCGCACTCATTCTTGAGCGCGGCGTACTCGACTAAGACTTTCTTGCCCTTCTTGTCGGGGTCCTTCCTCCAAGCTGCCTGGGCGGTCGCTCGGTCGAGTCGAATCGGATCGAATCGGATCGGACCGCATCGCATCGCATCGCATCGCATAACATCGCATCGCGTCGAATCGGTTCGCGTTGACTCGAAGGCAATCGAGCGGCCACTCGAAACAAATCCCACCAAATCGAATCGATTCGATTCAACTCGTTTCGGATCCAGTCGAACTGAAACGTGAGCATCCGACTATCACAATCAGCCAACGAGCGTCGGAACGATCGGCCTTCATCTCCTTGCTCCAGCCGACCAACCACCCATCGACAAGCTCGCCCGCTGCATCCACTGGCACAGCTGGTGATTCATGCTGTGCTGGCTCATCAGGTTCTGCAGGGTCCTCAGCTTTGTGCTCCTCCTCGGCCTCCTCATCAGCCTCATCATGAGCATCCTCATCTCCTGCAGCGTCTCCGTCATCCGTTTCGCCGTCCTCGTTGGTGCCCTCGGCGAGCTCGGATGCAGCACTCGGGGCACAAGCTGACCGTCCGAACACGTTGGCCCACTTCGGTATCGGGTTTTTGCGCACTCCGTTCGCCACGTGTTGCAGCATCAAGTGGATCGATCTTGCTCTCCCTTCACTCCACGATTCAGCTTGATCTGCGAGCTTCCAACCTGGAGAGGACTCCTGATTGCCCGCGAACTCAAGGAGGAGTTTCTGGAGCACGCTCTTGGCAGGGATCTTGTTATTCGTGATGGACCTCAGCCGCTTCAATAGCCTGGCGTTCTGGCGCAGTGAATCCTCGTCTTGTTGAGGCCCGTATTCGGCTGACTCGGGCTCGTCCAACTCAGCTTCGAAGGTCTGCAAGATCAGTTTCTGAGTGCTCTCGTCGATCTCAGTGGTCACGCTGCCTGGCGGCCTGCCCTTCTGGGCCGTCCCCGCAGGCTTCTTCGCGACCGCAGCCATGCGAGCGCGCTCGCGCCGACAGGCTCGCCGAGCTAGACGAGCCAAACCGGCTATACGGATGATTTCCAGGAGCGAAAAAGGACGATGAACATATCAGGATGTTGGTGATAATGGACTGTCCGCGGAAAGATGAAGTGTAATGACCATATACATACATATAGCAACACATAATTCGATGCAAGATCAATGCAGTATCGATGCAAGGTCAATGCAACGTCAATGCAACGTCACTGCAATATCGTATTGAATGTCGACGCGTGGTTAGTCAACGCAAGGTCAATGCAAGGTCAACGCAACGTCAATGCAAAGTCAACGCAAGGTCAATGCAAGGTCAGTGTACGGTCAATGCAACGTCAATGCAACATCAACGCGACGGGATGTGAGATAACCCCACCCCTGCTCGGATCCCAGCCCCTCCGAAGCGATCTCCATGCCCGCCGCCGCCGCTGCGCTGCTGGGGCCGCTCGCCTGGCGGACGCACACTCTCGCCCACCGGCTCCTTTCTTAAATTCCTACTCTCACCGCTCTCATGCCTCTCCTCCCCCACCTCCTTATTTTTCCTGCATCCCTCTTTCATCATGCATCCTTCGCCTATTATGTCTCCCTCCTCCTCTGTCTTCCTCCTCACCCCTCGTCCTCGTGTCTACTCCAGTCTGCCCAGATGTTGCCTCATCCGTCCTCTGACCTACCTCCTCTTGGTCACCTCTCCGACTGCTCTTCCCTCCTTACTCCTCCTCTTTCGCTCTCCCTCCTCCATCATTCCTTTCTCTCCTCCGCGCCTTGGGCACTGCCTGCGCCAGCGAAGCCGCGGGAGCTGCAATTGCGGCGTGCGGCTGGGCCTCGTGGGAGGGGTGGAGAATCGTATCCTCTTTCTCCTCCTCCTCCTCCTCCTCCTCCTCCTTCTCCTCCTCCTCCTCCTCCTCCTCCTCCTCCTCCCCTGTCTCCTCCTCCTTCGTTATCCTCCCTCATCCTCCTTCTGCCTCCTCCTCCTCCTCCTGGCTCGAGCCTGGTCCGACGCCTCATCGTTCACCACCGCATTCTGCAACCAAGTCTCGTGCTTGGTCCAAACCTCGACGAACTTTTCGTTCATCTCCCTCTGGACGTACGCGAAGAGCAGCGTCTCCGAAGACTCCTCCCACTCAACGAACGGGCTCCCCAATTGAATCAGTTTCGCACATCTAGTGCTTGCAGCTCTCCACCCTTCTGGGCCGCCGCCGTATTTCCATGCCATGCGGCCAATCGTGACCATGGAGCTCTTCTTCACCCATTCGTGCTCCACGGACGTCGTCTTGGTCGTCTTCTTCTCGTACTTGGCGTAAAGCTCCTTGGCCCAGTTCGCCCTGAACTCAGCCTGGTTGTCGCGGCCCTTGATCTTGGCGTACTGCGTCGCCACGCCCTCGATGTCCGCTTTCTTGTGGCGCTCCCAGACGCCAGCGATGCTGTTGCCCTGCTTCCCCTTCGTCATGAAGTAGAAGTTCGCAGCCTGGCGAGTTGCATTCATCGTAGTCGTCGCCATGATCCTCCTCCTCGGCATTATTGCTTCTCCTCCTCCACTTCCTTCTCTTCTCTTCTCTTCCTCCTCCTCCTCCTCCTCCTCTTCCTCCCCCTTCTCCGCCTCCTTGGTTCTCCTCCCTCCTCCTCCTCCTCCTCCTCCTCCTCCTCCTCCTCCTCATCATCATCATCATCATCCTCCTCCTGCTCCTCCTATCCTCCTCCCCCGCCTCCTCCTCCTCCTCCTCCTCTCCTCCTCCTCCTACTCCTACTCCTACTCCTACTCCTACTCCTATACCTACTCGTCGTTCTCATCCTCCTCCTCGTATCTTCTGCCCGCTGAGAAGGCCTTCACCTCTGCCCACATCATCGCCTTGGCCTTCTCCTGCGCAGTCTCCTCGGCCGAGACGGGCTCGGGCGTGCCCTCGTCGACCTGCTTCTGCTTGAGCAGCGTGTTCACGGCAGACGAGTCGAACAAGCGCTTCAGGGAGGCGTGCACCTGCAGCTCGTCAAGGGAGCCTGCAGACTTCTGAACATTCTGGCAGAACGAATGAACTTCATGCAGCAGCGCTTGCTTTCTGGGCGGCGGGGTCAGAGGCTCGTCGTCGTAGGGCAGCGTCGCAGCCTGCGCAGACTCGTAGGGGACGGTGTTCACACCCGTTGTGCCGACCGAGCCCTTGTCGAGGTGAATGCCGCCACCGTCGATCACGCCGTCATCATTGCCACCGAGCACCGTGCCGTCGCCATCGCCAAGATGATGGCCGTCATCGGCAGCAGGGCCACCGTCAGCGTCGTCATCTGCATCAGGCCCGTGTGGCTCGCAGCCGTGCTCGACCTCGGCGACGTCGACGGACTCGTCTGGGCCACGCGTGTCGTCGTCGGACTCGCATGGGCCAGGCGCGTCCTCAGGGGGCTCGAGGCCAGCCACGCCGTCGCCGTCGCCCTCGCTCTTCGTCTTCCTGTACTTGGCAAGCGGCTCGTCGTCAGATGCATCGCTGATCGAAATTGGCCTGTCCACACCTACATGATGATGCTTCTCAAACCCAGGCTCTCCGAATGCTGGCAGCCTGTCGGGGCATGACGACAAAGCCGAGGCTTCGCGGCTCTCACCCGCACTGCCAGCAGAGATGGTGTCGGGCTGCGTCTGCAACATGAGCCCGCTATCCACCACGGAGCGCGCGGGGCCTCGGCCAGGCACGGCCTCGAGAGGATGCCGATCCTTGACTTCGGAGCCAGAATGCCGCGGGACCACACCGCTGCGTTTGCTTCCCCTTCTGCTGCGGGGATTGCCTCATCATTCCAGCCTCCTGTCGAGCCTGTACTGTCTATTGCTTGTTTCTGCAGTCCTCTCTTCCTCGTATTCCTTCTTCTCCTCCTCTCCTTGTTCCTCCTCACCCTCCTCCCTCGTCGTTCTCCTCCTCCTCCTCCTCCTCCTCCTCCTCCTCCTCCTCCCTCGTCCTCCTCATCCTTCTCCTCTCCTTCCACTTCCTCCTCCTCCCGCTCCTCCTCCTCCTCCTCCTCCTCCTCTCCTCCTCCTCCTCCTCTTCCTCCTCCTCCTCCTCCTCCTCCTCTTCCTCCTCCTCCCCCCCTTATTCCTCCTCATCCTCCTCTTCCTCTTAACTTATCATGTCTCCTATTTTTATATCGTTACCCTCGGGGTCCGAGATGAATCTTGATCCCCCTCTCGAACTTGGCCTATAGCTCGCAATATAAGTTCGCAAGCCGTAGAGGCCAAAGGCATGCGAAGCAACACAATATTGTATAACCAGAAGAATAACACAACACACGCTTATGTCAATATATCATACACAGCAACATCGAATGCACAACCTTGTAAATCTTGTGTAAAACCGTAGCAACACGTCATAACCCTATGAAAAAAATTGACTTGAATCCATAAGATCTTGCAAATCTAGGTTACACGATATGTTAGGAACATAAAAAAAACGCCGGCAATAACAAATAATTGCCATCGTCTTGGCGTTTAAAATAACCGCCAGCGCACCTCAGGGAAGGTCGGATGGCGAAAAAGCATGAACCCCTCGAAACAGAAGAGTTCAAGATGCTCCGCTCTCTAGTCTACAAATTCAACTGGGTGGGTCGCGAGACGCGCCCCGAGGCAGCCGGTATCGCAAGTATTTTAGCCAGCTGGTTGAAGTCCCCGACCACTTTCGACATCCAGTGTGCCAACAAGTTAGTTCGCCACTTGCGCGCGTCAGCGTCTCGTGGTTTGACGATCTGGAGGCTGAATCCCGAGCAGATGGCGTTCATATCGTTCTCCGATGCGGGAGGTGTGGGCGCCAACATCGACCAGGGCGATGACCGGGGACTGCCGGGCGATC